ATCTGAATTTGAATTGAGAGACACGGCGGTGAGTAAGCCCTAAGCTGTACTATTTAGTATAGAAATTAATGTATTAAAAGATAGTGTGTTTAAAAATCATGATTGCAGATTTTATATTGGCGATTTGTACATTTTTATGTTGATTTTGATATAAGAGTAGGAAGATGAAGTACTTTTTATAACCCAAACTGTCCTGATTTAAACTTCCGAACTCTTATGGGGTCAATTCTTTTCGCATCTTTAATTGATTTAAGAAAATGCTTAAAATCTGTGAACTACAAAGAAAAACTGGATCTATCTATGTAAAAATACTTGGTTTGAAACTCTTACTGCATTCATGATTCAACAGTTCGGGCAAGCAGCCTTCTTGAGTTTCATATTTGAACTTCTCAACAAATGGAGGAAGATAAGAAGAAGAAAAAGAAAAACAACAAGAAGAAGAATAAGCAGGCTACTAAACTGACAGAATGTGCCTCAGAATCAACTTCTGACAATCAGAGCTATGTTTCTGAGATGGCGCCAGATAATAAAGGTCAAGTTTTGGAGATTCCAGCATTACAAAATGATGTTGGTCAGAAAATAGATGACAGAAGTCTTGCTAATGGCACTGAAGGTGTAAGTTCATCTGTGTGTGTGTTTCCATGTATCATTATAGCAAGTAAAGTTGACTTTTGTTGAATGAAAATGACTTATTGTCCCAGTTCAGGGTTATTTTCTGGATTAAATTGAGGATTGCCTATGTTTCTTGAAAATGATTGTTATATACATCGTCTCCATTGCTGCTCTCTGTCACTGCTAGCTCTTACTGGAATCATAAACCAAAAATTGTGATATACAGGTGGTTTTATCTGCTTGTTTGTATGAAGTACTTGAGTTGAAACTGGCTTGTTTGGACTTACATTTCTATGTGTGTGGGTTATCTTTCTGTTCAATAGACAGAAACTTCAAATAACCTGAGCCAGGTGTAGAGTAGCCTTTGCACATTGATGACTTTCTTACATTGTATATTCTCTGAAAGTGTGATGTGTGAACAATCTTTACTGAGGTCCATGAAATACTTGTGGCTCTTATTGTAAATTGTATATATCTGCATTTGAACCTTTTTTTTTTTTTTTTCATTTATCGTAGACAAAACATTGTTCACCTTGCAGCTGGAATGCATTAACTATTATTTTGTATAGTAGGTCTTATCAATGCACTATAATCTATATACCACCTGAAATTTTCTAGGTATCTTATTTTTGTACTTGCTGTTTCATGTATAAAAAGAGTTTTTCTTCCGACCCATTTAGTTTTATGGTTCTATTCAAACACAATGGTAGTTGTCTTTTGATTTCAAAGTGTGAATTTTTTTCTTTATTTAGTTTAGGTGGGCTTTTAGGGAATCAATGTGCAGTAACATAGACTATCTTGATTAACATAAAAAACGCATTGGATGAACCACACTTCCAGATTTTTTACAAGTTGTTACTTTTTGGATTTTTACTTTTTTTCAATATTGTCCACATTGTTGTTTACAGACAACTTTATCTGAAGTTGAGGAAAAGTATTGGCTTGACAAAGAAGCGATGACTTCTAGAAGTGATAACTAAGTCATCGCTTGATAATCTAATACTGTAAACTAGTATTTTATGATCTGATATTCATGTTGTTAGCATATGTTTTGCAATCATACTGACTTAAGGTTTATATAGGCCAGCATTTGCAAGAGAAAATTAAACAATTTCAGAATGAAAAAGATGCAAGCATATATAAAGAGGTAACAGAAACATGATTTGCCTTATATTCTGGTAACATTTAATCTACTTTGTTCTTTCTTATTGGCCTTTTATCTTTCTGTTAGTAATTTGTTTATATATTATATTTGTACGTACATTAATTATATAAGAAAAAACATTTTCTACGTTTGTGTGTATCGCTTGTTTGTATTTATTCCTGGTTTTACTCTTACAGGCTATCCTCGAGGAGAAAATGAAACAGTTGCTGAAGGAAAGAGATGAAAATTTACAAAAAGAGGTAACTGAAGTTTAATTTAATGAATTCTCGAACATTGCACCATAAGTCTTGTAATTGGCTTAATTTATTCTTCACAATATTATCTATTTTCAACCTTTATTTTATTCTTTTATTAGATCAAAATACTTTGGCTTTTTCAGGCTAGCCAAGAAGAGAAAATCACACAATTACAAAATGAAAGGGATGCATGCATGCAGAAAGAGGTAATGTTAGTTTAATTTTTCAGAGAAAGTGCATTCAACACCGGTACAGTGATTTTGCGCATGTGATGAATTTCTCAAAGTGCTTTTCCTTTCTCATACTTAATGGATCTAGATGCAATTTCTGATTATATTGGCTAATACATGCTATTGATAAAAGAGAAACTTGTATCCATAAGAAATGAAAGAGAGACAATTGATACAAACATGAATATAAAACATAGTATAATATGCGATTAGTCGTCTCAGACATTTTGTATAATAAATTTTTAGATAGGGTTTAAGATAAAATCTTTGATTGCTCGAAATTTCTCTTCGTATGCAATTCTATTAATTTTTCTACATCATGTTCCTTTATCTATATATATCTAGAGAGAGAGAAAAAGAAATGACTTGCGTTAAGTGACAATGACATGACAGATCAATTTAGCAAATGTGTGTTCGAGTGGCATTTTACCTCTAACCACTACTCATCCATTAATTCTTCAACATCATTCGGTTTAGACCTCCACTTAGTTTCACCTAAGCTTCATCTTTTTTATGGATAGATAACCCAAGTTCGATTCCATAACCAGAAACAATTGCGTTATTTAATACCTAGGACCCAACATTAATTTATCCATTAATCAATTGATGTGCTATGTCACTGTTACTAAGCAACGTTGTTTAGTAGATCATTTGTCTCTCACTATTTATATTCTTTTTCTCTGGAAGCCAGCTAATGATTGCTTGCCTGCTACAGGATAGTCGAGGACAGAAAATTGAACAATTGCAAAAGGACACGGATGCTTATTTACAAAAGGAGGTAATTCTAACTTAATTTTACTATTTCTGATGGAAGAAGGTTATGTAGCTGCGACAATCCCATGGACATGTTCTATTTATTCACACTTCAGGGAATTTTTTCCATCCACACTTGTTACGCTTTTTAGGTTTCTTGTTATTTCAGACTTCATGATATGATTGATATGCAAAACTTTCAGGCTGATCTAGAGAGGAAAATCCTACAACTAGAGAGTGAGAAAGATATGTGGCTCAAGAAAGAGGTGACTCTTATTGAATTACCAACTTTTTGTTGAAAGCTTCAGTCTTAGAACTCTATATTTCCAACACGGCCTCATTGGATAGATTTGAGTTTGCTGTATTGTTTGACTTGCTGAATAACATTTTCTCTAGTTGAAATCTTGTATGTTGAAGTTCGTCCAAAACTATTTTCTAGCTTGTCGTCTAATATCTTGTCTCTTGCAGGTTGGTTTTGAAGAGAAAATTAATCAGCTCGAGAATGAAGTGGCCATTCTAAATTTAAAAGGGGTAATTGATTTAATAGTTAGAATTTGTTTTTCCCTTATTATAGCTAAACTTCTGATGCTTTTTCTGTCATGGTCAAATCAATACCCTGTTCAGTCACGTCCTGAAGACTCGAGTTGTGCAGTATATTAACTTAGACCTTGAAATGCAGGCAAGCTTAGATGAAAAGATAAAACATATGGAAAAAGAAAGAGATTCCTGGGTCCAAAAGCAGGTAAAAAATGCTTCTGTCTCAACATGTATGCTTGTTTTTAGTTGTAAATGTTGTCGTCTGAAGAATACGTTTTGTTTTATCTTCAGAAGACCAGAGATAAAAATAAGAAGTATGTCTAATATAATTTGCTTATTCTCACCTGCATATAGAAGGTTTGAAATCAAGAAATGCAGCGGATGTAGAATTTTAATCCTCTTAACACAGTTTTTGTTCATGATCATCACGTTAATCTAGAGAGGTCAGAATTCACCTCAAAACTTCTCGTTTTCTGTTGCTTTTGTTTAGTAAAACAAGCCCTGCAAACGGGAATCCTTTTGAAGTATCTACACATGAACTGTAAATCTGAAACTTCCTCTTCCTTTGTTCGCCTTAGTCCCATGGGAGAAGTAAAGAATAGACAAGCAAGTACTTGTTGAAAACCGCAAAACTTCAAACGTGCTTGTAGGCATTTCTTTAGCTATTTTGACGAATTGCTGTCTAGTCATTGTAAGGTCGAGAACCCAGTTACACTCGAATGTTCGTAAATCAGATCTTTTTATGCGTTATGTGCAAATTATAAGAAACAGTCGGGATAAAGTATAGATGTTGCTTAATTGAGAGGCTTTGGTGTAATAATAAATAATATAAGTACAAATCCTAGGTTTAATTAGGATTTATAATTTTTTTTTTTAATGTAAATACACAAGGGTTGAATGTTTTATATTAGTATGATAGATGTATATTTAGATATAGTTTGAGTGTAAGATCTTTGATTGCCTAAAGTTCGTCTCCATACGCAATTTCTGTTAATCTTCTTTATGTTATTCCTATATATACATATTGATGCGGACAACATTAAGACATTATCGAAATTTATTTTATTGTTATTGGACTTTATTATTTGCGTTTCGTATTGTTGGGCTTGTTTTAGCGGGTTGGCCCAAACCCTTAAAATTAGGTTATTTTCTGCTATTTATTAGGTTTTCATTGTAGTTGATTTCAGTTGATGATTGATTAA